CCTGCGTCCCTCCCGTTGACTCTCCACCATCACCATTTCCCAGCGCACGCCTTTTCCCGTACATCTCCACGCCACAAAAACAATCGCCGTGCCATGAGCAAAAAAACATCGCTCCCATGAACAAGAAAAATGTGCATGTACGTCTAAGCGGGTTGCCAACCAACCCACCTGGATCTTGTAGTTGGAGGAAGAGATGCCGTCGATGACGATGGTAGGCGGCCTGCTGGGGTCCAGGACAGACAGCAAGCCGGTTCCGTGGACGGGGAAGTGCTTGGTGTGGGTCGCGTAGATGTGCATCTCGCCTTCGGTGATGGTGGGGTCTTCGAGGATGGTGGCGACCTTCACGCCCTTACCACCGCCGAGCTCAATCTGACGGTTATTTTTCGTGCCGAAAGCGCGCACGGAATGGGAGGGGGTGCCGCGTGTTAATTTATACCGCGTAGGATTAAGTCGACATATTTCAGAGGTGCCTACACTACTGGCGAGGGGGGAGTTTTTCGTTCCTTTTCTCTCCTGCACGCTCGTCGTGGACACAAATCAACCTTTCTCCCGCATCAATGAAACGCCTCCCAAACACGCTCAAGAAACTTTCACAGAAAAGAGCAAAAAACAACGTGTCAAACGATCATCACACACAAATGGAATGTAGAAGACGCAAATGCTAGCAACGGAATGCTGTGCGTGCTGCAGGGAGGACGCGTAGAACGGTGATCGCACAAAAGGTGCTACGCTAACGGTTCTTCTCGTCACCTCGCCATCGCCGACGTTGATGCCCTTCACCATCAGAGTACCCCCGTACTTGCTCCACAGGGAACCGTCCGCGAGTTCGAGCTTGAGCTCAGCCTCGGATACCACGGTAACGGTGTAGTTGTCGGGGGCCCAGATGGGCGGGTCGAAGTTGAGCACGGGGTCACCCTTGAAACCACTGCCTAGGATCTGGAGCGGTGCTTGAGAGGACTGCGGAAAGAAAACACCGGACCGCCGATATATACAACAATAAACATCAGAGGGACACTCCGGTAGGTGGGCAAGAATAAAGAAAAATAAACGCAACAGGTAAATTTTCGTGCTTGTATTTTAGGCATTTTTTACGCCTGTATTTCCCCGTCGTCGACAGTAGCACAACACATGAGCACGCCGGCGGCAGGAATCGTTTTGGGGGCTTGCGTGTTCCAGTTATTGGCGGGTGGATATTACATTGCTGGGGGCTGAGAGTACAATGTTTTGCGGCGGCTGTCCACCTACGCACAATAATCGCTCATCTATTCGCTTATATGAAGTAGCGGTACCCATAATCAAACCGCAAGGCTGCATGGTATTGTCGTGGAGTATTGTTCCAACATCCTGGACTCTTCACGTACGGATAAGAAACGAACAACGGCTACGCGTACCTACAGTACAGCGCAGCATGAGGGCGGTGCTAGCGTTGCTGATGTCCACTCGATCCTTCCTGGCTGTTAGTAGGGAGGGATGTTAGGGCTAGGTGGGTATGGGCTTGCCTGGTACTTGGGCTGGCCATAGGACGGGTAGACCTGAACACCGCTCTCGTGCACGTCCGAGTCCGAGACAACCTTGGCCACCGTCACCGGAGAGTCGAACTTCACCATCCCGGCACCGGTGTCCATTCCCTGGGACGAAAATACGCACACAGAGGGCAACAACAACATAAAACACACACCGAGACATCGTGGATGAACACAATCTCGTCAGCCGCAAGGTTTGTCAGGCAAGGACAAGCCAAGACCACGGATAACAACGGCGATGGTTCATGACCCCGCCATGACACCGTCCGTCAAAGACCAACAACTTCCACAGCAGCTATGCGAAATTTTTCCACCAAGACGCCTTGTACTTGTGATCGTTTCTCAGATCAACTCCGGGGGGGGGGAACGCACAGCTATCCCGCGTCACCCCCTGGACGCGTAACAGTAGTCTCCTGCATTCGTTTTGGGGGAAGGTGTGCAGCACAGCATACCCTAGCCAACCCCGCAAAAGCGATGGTACAGAAAGCAAAGAAAATCGGCGACATACTGCAGGCATTGATACCTTGATGGTCAAGCCGTACCCTGCCTTAGTAATTTGACTTCGCTCTCAATCAGATACTTCGCTCTCAATCAGGCGAATATGTTGTTTCTAGCCAATCAACCACTTTCCTCAAAAACCAGTGGTATTCTATACCAGGGCAGAGAAAACCATCGACGCCCTGCTAAAATCACAACCTATCCGCATGCAGTACAGTACCTTGATGGTCAGGTCACCGACGTTCTCCTCAGCGGTCCACTGAGCAGAGGTGGTGGACAGACTCAGCGTGATCATCGTGCGGTTGACCACCTTCAGCGTGACACCCCACAAAGACGCCCAAGCGGATCAAAACATCAAAGGGGGTGTGAAAGGATTACCAATTGATACGATGAGAGGTCAATTGCCGGGACACGTACAATTTACTAGCGCACGCCGTACAACACGTTCTACAATACTCGCATCTTCGGGTGTATGCCGGCCACAACTATAGCGCAAAGGCGCGCTTATCGATGAGGGCTCACGAGAAAATGGCAGCAGTGACGTCAAGGCGTGAGCGAAACCAGCTGCCCTCCGTGACGATTCAGACATATTTTTCCACTCGGTTAGTCCAGCGAACCTCAACGACTCAAAAACGAAAAATATCTGTGGCAGCATACAAGAAGCACTCACCTCTACGTAGACGCTTGAGGAGTCTAGCACAGGTTCGAAGTCAAGCACGGGGCGGAACACCTTGTTGAACCCGGTGCCCCTGATCTGCAGCTCGTGCGTGTGGGTGCGGTAGATCTCGACGTCGGAAGTCTCAACGCTGGGGTCCCCTNGCTTGAGGAGTCTAGCACAGGTTCGAAGTCAAGCACGGGGCGGAACACCTTGTTGAACCCGGTGCCCCTGATCTGCAGCTCGTGCGTGTGGGTGCGGTAGATCTCGACGTCGGAAGCCTCAACGCTGGGGTCCTCGAAAACGGTGGCAACCTTCGACCCGGCCTTGGCTTGGGTAGGACCGAGAGGCACCCAGCCGTCGCCCGAATCGGCGGCCAGTAGCACGAGGACTCCGGGCAGAGCGCTGGGGTTCTGTTGTCATTTGTTTTTCCGGGAGGGAGCCGGGACAGCGCATCGAATGCACACACAAGAGTCACGCAGCTAGTCGATCGTGTGTCGAAAATATTGGGAAGGTGCCGATGCGTTGCGACGAGAGCTCCCGGGCAGGGCGCTATCGTAGCGTTACGTTCATGTCGCGTTGTTTCGGCAGAGCCAAGCATCCACGACGGGTCAGTAGGAAACCTCAGCGATAGGAATGTGTTCAAGAGCTGATTGGGTTTGAAGCGACAAAAAAAGAAAGCGACAAAAAAACACGTTATAGGTGCTTTGCATGCATATTTGTACGACCGGGAGGGGAAACAACCGCCAGTCAGTCACTGATGGCAACGCCACCAGAAAACAGTGTCGACAGGCAGCAAGGAAAAACGGGTACAAACTCAGACTGAGGTCTGTTCATTCCCCTGCCGCTTACCGCGGTCGACGCTCATATAAACAAGAAAATGCATCGCAATATCTCACGCATTCACACACACACCTTGCGCCACTTGCTTCCCTCCGTCAGCTCGAGAGTGAGCAGTTCGGGCTGCGAGTCGGTGATGGTGAAGTTGGTTCCTCCACCCCTGAGAGCGTTGGCGAAACGCACCTGACAACACCACAAGACAATGCCACAATGACAATGGTTGGAATGACGGAACAATAACCGACCACTCGTGTCAATGTATATATTACTCCTGAGCGTCGAAACCCAAACAATCCCACAATGACATGCAACGACGTGGGATTGCGCGATCAAACAATTGCTGTGTGAATGTCAATACATAAAAAATCTCAAGATGATGGTAAGAAATAACGTGGGATTGCACTATCACACCATTGATGTTTGTGTCTCCAGAGGCGGACCTGCTTCCCTGTACGTCGTGGTGGCCCCGGAACAACACCGCCAAAAGGCAGACCTCACGGTAAC